GGCGGATAAAACCAGACCGGGAAAAGCAACGTGAGTGTCACGGTGCAGGAAGCGCTCGTTGCTGAATTCTATTGCCTTAACTGTGGCCGCGATTTTATGCGGCTTTTGGGAAAATGCCCTCGTACTGAGTCAGTGCGCATCGCAACGAAACCTATTCTCTGAGATTCTGCATGTCTAGAAACCGGTTCCTTATTTGCCTAATTTGTGCAGTGCTTGGTGCAACTTTCTGTTTCTCACTCTTTCCGCACTCAGAGTCTGAGGAAATACAATGGCTACTAGCGGTGCTCTGAAGAAAAAGACAGTGGACAAGCAATCTGCAGAGTAAGAATTAAACGGAATGCTGCTTAGAAAGGCACAATGTCTCAAAAATAGGGATGGGAGGGAACAAATACTTTTCTGGCTATCATCTGTCTATGTCTGTCTGTCTATCTGAGTATTACCACTGTGTGTTGTGTGTGTGTATGACACGCATACAAGATCTGTTGCTACAAAGCCTTGTTTTTAAAGTAAAACTTATACCTCGATCAATTCATTAGTGCCAGTTAAGCAATTTGTGCTCACTGAAACTCAGAGTATTCATAAATTAGCTGATGGGGATTTGAAAAATGTATTGATTTCATAATGGGCATGTGGAAAACTCCAAAATATTCCCATTTCTCTCTAATTTGTGGTGAAATTACTCCTGGACCATGGTTCCAGGGTGGTTTGGCAGTTTCTATCAGTAAATCCTCTGTAATAGAAGTGCCTCAAAATGTTTTACACTGAGTAAAACCTAAGAATATCTTCACAGTGTCTCAGCACAGTCAGTGAGGAAGTTGAACATACAAAAATGCATTGTATTCATGACGATATCGGTGAAATCAAAATTTTCAAGAAGAGGTGTAATAATTTAGAAATTACACTAGCCATGGTTGAAGATATCTATTTTGAGATTATGAATTTATTTAACTGTTTATTGACAGAGATGCCAGGGTTCATGTCCCCAATCCACACCTTGAGAAAATGAAAGATGACATCCTGTATCATTTTGCTCTTGGGACCAGTACTCATGACTTTCCTGCCTTATTTGGAGATATAAAGGTAAGAAAGAAAATGGCTCTAGATTGTTAAATCAAGTAACTGTTTCCCTCTTACCACTCTACAGCTAAGCCCTAAGTCCTAAGTCTTCTTGCTTGTGCTACTGTATCAGACATAGGTTGAATTAAAGTTTACAGAATCTACTTAAAAGCTGAAAAACCTGAAGCCAGAAAGATAGTAGTGAGGGGGAGGAGGTTAGTAGCTCTCAGCTACTCATATTTTATGTCCCACCAATCATTCTATCAAAGAAGTAGTCTCACCAAGAGATACAGAAGAAAAAACTTTTCCCAAGAAGGATATTTACAGATTTACAGGTACCATGTTACCATATTTGTCATATTTGGTACAAGGGTATTGATGGGCAGATTCAGTAATAATCCTCACCACAATTCTTTATGTATATGCTCAGATGGAGAAATTGGGTTGCACATGTACTTTTGAATTGTCCTATATATTGTTCCTGGAAATTGGAATTAATCATATCTAATCATAAACCACTTGGGTTAGCCTCATCAGGCAATTCTGTGTTTCCTATTGAAAAGATCAGTATTTCAAACTTCCAGAAAAGTGGCTAAATGTGTGCTATGGTGTTAGAAGTTGCTGAATCTGGACAAAATCCAGGTATGCTTAGTTTCTGTTATGAATGGGGCTTTTATGCAGGATGCTTTATATTTTCACTGTGTTTTGTGGTTTATGATCATACATAAATAAATGCATGAATTGTTCATCCTTGCCTTAGAAAATGGAGTTTGTTACCTATAGTGGCCTAGATACCAGAGAAATCTGGATGTTATTGTGGTTCAATTGTTCTGTCATGGAGAAGATCCTATGTGGTCGCTGGGAGTCAAAAACAACTTGATGGCGCACAATCAATCAAATCAATCAATTATTCAGTCACTTTGTGACCCAATGGATATAATTTTGCTAGCATTATCTGTCAGTAACTGCTTCTTGTAAGCTTGTGCTTGTGTCATCAGTGATAACATCAAGCAACCTTATCCTCTGTCATCTCTTTTTTGATTGCCTCCCATTTTTCCAAGCATTTGAATCTTCTCAAATACTCTTGTCTTAAGTGCCCAGAATATTTAAGTTTCAGCTTCAATATCAGTCCTTCCAGTGAGCAATCTTCTACTAATCTACTTACAACATATTCAAAATATAAATTAAATAAATTAAGGTCTGTCACCTTAAGAGCTTTGGTGCACTCAGGCTCAGATTTGAGTTCCTATAGATTAGAAATTTTAACAACCTAATTTTTCCTACTGATATAGTCAGCTGGGAGCATGATGGCCAAGAATAAGAGATGGTAGGTGTTGTATTTAGGAGAGACACACAGGTTGCTGCCCTCCCTCCCTGTTCTAAGCGGACATATTGAAAACAAAACTTTGGATCATTTACTGACCAGGTATGTGTTCTACCAGTACATTTATAACTTTTTGCTTTAGTAAACACTTAAAGAGATTTATAATGCTGCACAGTGGAGCAATATTTAGAAAACATTTTAGTTCAGTTAGTTTTTGAAACCATTGTCTGTGACCCTAATTTAATTTTGGTGCACATTGAAAGTGTACATTTTGCTAATAGTATGCTTTATTTATTTAATTCTGCTTAGTTTGTATGTGTTGGAGGAAGTCCTTCACGGATGAAAACTTTTATTACCTACATTGCTGAACAGCTGGATATTGGCAACCCTGGTTATGACTATCCCAATATATGTGCTGGAACAGATCGGTATGCAATGTACAAAGCAGGCCCTGTGCTGTCAGTCAGTGTAAGTATACAATATATTTTAAAAACATAACGTATAAAAAAAAGCCTTTGAAAAAAAGAAAGACACAATGGCTTGTGACTTTAAAAATCTGCTTTTATTTGGACCACTCAAAACGTTAGGGTTAGGGTTAGGTTGCTTTTTTCTGAGACTGTGTCCAGAAATATCTACATCGATTGCATGTTCCATCCATCCATTTATTTTCTCTATGCTGAAAATAAATGAATGGATGGAACATGCAATAGATGTAGATATTTCTGGACACAATACAATTTAAAAAGAAGAGAAATTTTGGATCCCAGACATATTTTTTATGAAACAATTGAACTGTTGATATGGCTTTGGGGTGAATTGTGCTCCAAGAAATAGATAAAAGAAGGAAGAGAGATAAAATAGCTGCTTGAGGTTTGGGCGAGGCAAGCAGTGTCTTGTCCACATTGGTTTCAGAAGAGAGTAGACTGGAAGAGGAGGAGGAAGAAGAGGACACAGCAGGCAGTTCCAAGGAGGTGAGTGGTTGTCTGACCTGCTTTAGCACACATTTCAGGTAAACTCAAAGCCACCCAGCTTGCAAGCCCTTCAGCCTATGCCAGAGGAGAAGGCTGAGAGCCCTGCCCTGCAACACTGGCCATCCAGAGTGCTTTGTTGTTAAGTGGTTCAGGATAAATATGTTGTTGTCCTTTCTTCCAGGAAAAATGTTCAGCTTCCTCTATAAGTACTGTAATGGAGAATAATCTGTCATGCTGTTTTACTCTGTCAGTATGCATATTGATTCATACATAAACAGAACACATGAAATGATAGAAAAATATTCATTGTGGATTCCTCCCTCTCCCATTTTTAAATTTCAGCATGGAATGGGAATCCCTTCAATTGCCATCATGTTACACGAACTCATCAAGCTGCTGTATCATTCCAAATGCTGCAATGTAACCATTATTCGTATTGGCACATCTGGTGGAATAGGTATTTCTATTGTTATTTCATTAAAGTAAACACAGTGATTGGTTTATGGTATCATCAAATACAAATTATATATTTATAATGTAGGTTTGACACCAGGCTCCGTGGTGATCACAAAGCAAGCTGTAGATGCTACCTTCAAGCCACAGTTTGAACAGATTATTTTGGGGAAGTCTGTCATTCGCGGTACATGCTTAGATGAAAACCTAGCTGAAGACCTTATGGAGTGTGCCAAGGAACTTGATGAGTTCAACACAGTTATCGGAAATACAATGTGCACTCTGGATTTCTACGAAGGTAAAGCTAGTTGCGTACCACCCTGTTCATAGCAAACAAAATTTCAAACTGAATGAGCAGATGATAAAATAAAACATAATTTTCTTAACATTAAATAAGAAACAAACTACCACATGAAGAAAATGCATAATTCAGACCCCAGAGGTAGTTGAATGCTTTTGCATGAAAAAGGGGGAAAGATTTGAATGGAACCTACTTATTTTTCTAGAACTTCATCCAAGTGTATTCTCAAGTCCAAAAGGAGGTTTAACTTACAATCATATTTACCTGGTTCAGATCAAGTGATCATTTTTAATCTATTTAAATTTAATTGTCATTTTTAATTTTAATTTTCTGCATAAATGCCTTGATGATATATAACACAGTGAATGTGCTTGTATTTAAAATGAGTTCCCCTCTTATTTGCATGTATGCAAATACATGTATGCTTTGAACTGGCTCTTAACTGTGGTAGATCTCATTATAATAAATGTTTGCCACAAGTTCAATATTTGGACTACAGGCATTCAACAAGTACTTAGTTGTGACCTACACCAAACTAATAATTATTAAGATATCTTAAGGTGACATGGGGTCAGGATGTGAATTACATAGTTCAGTCATACAATCTAAACCATCCAAATCAAAACAGCATAGCTGTCATTAGAGAAATATCCCCCACTTCCCTTCTGCCATTGGAGATTAGCAGTAAACCATTGTGACAGCATCTGACTGAGGCAGAGAAGCAGGAAAATATAGAAAATGTATGCAAGAGGGAAGGGGGGAGGGAGGTAGTTTTGTTAATACAGGGGTTGGCATGGAGCCCTCTGTTATGCTCATTGGTCTAAAAAGAGAACTGGGTTGAAGAATAAATTCTGAATGAAAATCTAAATGTAAATTCTTCAGTAGCAGGGCAGAAACTGTGATTAATTTGTGAATGTATGAACAAAAAGACATCTTTCCAGAACTACCAAATATGCTTTGTTTAGGTTTTCCTGTAACTTAAACGTCACTAGAATCTGTTCATAACACACATATAGATTATCTTTCCAACTCTATCCTTCCTGGCTAGATAGTTCCAGATATGCTTACTATCTTGATCTGGCATTCTGCTTCCCCTTGCAATTATTGCCTCCCTCAAGGGAACTTTAGTAGTAGTCATCTGTCCAAGACCTTATTGCAGAGATGTGTAGTTTTACATCTTCAGTGACATGTCGTGCATTTGTAGGTCAAGCTCGTCTTGACGGTGCCATCTGTATGTACACTGAAGAAGAGAAACTACAATATTTGAAGGAAGCTCACAAGGCTGGAGTCAGAAATATTGAGATGGAATCTTCTGTTTTTGCAGCTATGTGCAATGTTAGTGGCCTCAAAGGTAATGTGTATAATCTTATTTTATCCACTAGCTTTAATTCTAATATACTGAAGAGTTTGTAATGTAAGTAGGAGTAGTAGAATAATTGTAATACTGGTACCTGGAGATGGGGGTGGACCACTGTCAGGGAAAGTAACCTAATTTAGTATCAATGTTGCCTTCCAGCCCCCCATGCTCTACCACAAGGCCTGGTAGCCAGGGTGTGTTACCGACGCTGCTCCCAGGTTCGGCTTATGGTCACTCACTCACACACTCACTGCCTGTTGAGGCACGCAGATCTTGTCAGCCCCCCTTGCTTTCTACCTGGGTTTCCAGATAGTTGTGGCTGGGGCCGAC